TTATTATTAAAATGTTAACAGTCGAGATTACGGAGTGAGCTTGCTCTAAAGTTACGTGTACACCGAGCCATATAACAGAAAGACATAACTGATGTATATAATAAAATCTAGTAACATTACATTTGTAAAATTTTGTGTGAAATGTCAGATGACACCATTAATGAATTGTATGATTTTAAAAAGATATTCCTTGTACTGCACCTTAAAAATTACAATGATGTCATTACCAGGCTTTACACAGATGCTCTATAGCGCGAGATATAGCAATCGTGCGCAATTGAGTACGCGTATAAAGGCGTTGGAATGATTTTTTTTATTATATCAAGTGTTGGGGCGAACAAGTCGTGCGCCTGATGGTAAGCTAAACACCTGTCCATAACAATTGCAGTGTCATCAAAGCTTTAAATCGCAAAGATCTGAGGGGCACTGCCACTGCGCTCGTCACCCTAAGATATAAGTTGACATGTCCCATGTGCGTTCCATCGACACCCTTACCTTTCAAAACCGGAACACAGTAATGCTGACATTACTGCTTGGCGGCAAAAATAGGTAAGGTGGCAGTACTTCCTTGGACGAACTCTTTCGTAAGGAGCTGTACTGCTACTAAATCAATCGACCGGGAATGGAAAAGACCGCGCTATTGCGTTCAAAGCGCACTCCAACTCGCGCCAGTTTCTCGCGGTTTATCCTGCGCTATTAGCCTTTATACGGACACTCTATCCGTTGTAGCAATCGCGCGCGAAAGAACGTTAGCTTAAAAAAATTGAGTTACTCCCGTCTGGACCTCGATTCTGGGGGCCTACCGCAATCTCTTAAAACAATATTACTTTAATCTTACATTGACTTTTCGTACCATGACGCGCTTAAAGTAAGCTTATTACAATGTTAAAACTATGATGTTTTATTGACAGCTTTGTGACTCAGTTCGTGAAACTTTAACATTAAAATAATATTGTTCTTATGTCAAATTTAGCAATCTTAAAATAGTTACACGGACGCAGTGGAAACAATATTATTTTCGAATTTATTGTCTTATTGGAGCTGCCCCTCACCCTGCGCACTTATGAAATACATCTTTTTTATTATTACGAATTACAGTATGAGGCGTTATTGCCTTATAGCTTTTTCCAATATTACTGTTTTGAGTTTTCATTGCGATTTTTAATCTATAATAAAGAACATTTCAATTCATTCCAAAGAAATATTTTTTGGAACAACTTCTCACGCATATCAATGTTTCTCGAACTGTGTATAAGAGTACCACTCTCTCCGACCTTTGATCACCTCTGACCACTTCAAAGTCAACGACCGAGTACCTCTGGCTTATGCAATGATTATGTTGGCATTATGTATGTTTATCACCCTACATTTCGCCGGAAGCATATTTCTGCTTTATGTTTGCATGTAAATAACGCCTATATTCTCAGTCCCATTAGTGTCACTTTGTTTTACTCTAATTGTGATTTACATGTTCTTTGTAAAGAAATCAGGTAGTTGGGTGATAGGAAGATGAGAAGAAAAACTTCGGGAGCTTTTTACGTATAACGACTTTGTAACTTATTTGTAACTACGTACTTACTACGTAGTTATAACTAGAGAGTTATAAAAGTAAGTAGTAGGGAATAGTAATAAAAACAAAGTATACTTGACTAATGGCCATATTTTGAGGAACGCTAAAAAGAGATCGTATTATGTGATAACAATGTTTATATGTATTGCTGGCCACATATACCAGAACTTTTAATCGAAATCAAAAGACGATCGGAACCATTCGTTTTTCAAATTAAATTTTGTTTTTTTTTTTAATTTATTGCTGGCCATGGAAACAAAGTCCTTCAGCCGAAAACATAAACATTTAATTATATTTCTGTAAATATGGCCACCACAAAGAGGATAGGCAATTTGAGGCGGCGTGTTTGGATTGACTCAGGATTCCTTAGAACGGGCCGATAAGGGTATTTTAGTTCGAGATTCGTATAATTTCGCGTTTTAATCTTCGATTAAGGCACAATAGCACTATCCTATTCCACTTTAAACTAAATTTCACAAAATAATTGAAAGTCAAAATAAAAACGACACTTTTCCCTCCAAAAGGCCCAGAGCGAATCATTAAATTTTGTAGTATAATTATGTGACCAGTGGCACATATGAACATTGTTACCATAGTTTAAACTTTTTTTGGCGTTCATCTATGAAATATGTGCCTAAGTGTAGTTAAATGTTATGTTATAATACATTTTTTTTTAACTGTCGAAAAGACATTGCATACAACAACAGAAATTATGTAGATCCGTGTTATGAAGGTCAGGCTTAACGATTTATTATGTAACATAATTTATGAACAGATTGGAATAAGTAGAGCATATTTTATTTACCTGATCTTCAAGTAATATATATGGAGTGAATAATACGTCGCACTGAAATTCCTCAATAATTAAAAAAAAGGAATTAACTGGACAACATAATTACGGTACCCGGTGTTGGGGTTAGTGGTAAGTAAAGGTTACTTGTTACGTGTTAGAAACCCCGCTCTTCCATATTACAATTTTAATATCCGTAAAGATATTAAAGTTTATAAATAATAAGGTTTGTTTGTTAATTAGTACAGCTGGTACCTCCATCGCCTAAACGTACAATTTTTAAAAATAATAAAAATAAATAAAAATATTACAGAGTAGTAAAAATGTATAACATGGTACCAAGCAATATATTACTTCAGAAAAACGAAAAAAAATTTTATAACAAATTAAAGAACCTCCTCATACAAAAGTCTTATTACGCAATACAAAATTTTATTAAAGGCAAAGAACTCTATTCTCCCTATATTAAGCTTTACAATTATAATAATTAGTATATAGATTCATCATGTTATTGATACTGTGTTACTTTAAGATATTTTATTACTTAAAACAAGTTATTACTTTTGTTAATTCTTTTTGTTTAAAAACTTTATTTTTAAGTCTTAGCTACGCCCTTACAGGGTAAATGTAATGTAATTTTATTGCGTGGTCGCAAATAAATAAATACTGAAAAAATACAATAACACGAAGATGAGAAAACTTATCTTCTGAACAACTACTATAACAAAATCGCATGCATCCTTAAAATCTTTAAGCCTCTCCGGAAAAGTTGTAATTTTGCTAATTTGCCCTTATTACACCAAGGGTGTCAACTATTTATATATTACCTATTTATTTACAAATCTAAAATAGGTTTGATCCACTCTATATATATATTGCTTCCTTGAAGTTAAGGTGAATATACTGTCTGTTCCGATCTCTGTTCACAACTCATTAATTGTTGTAACACAGGTTGTACAGAGCTTGACAGTAACAAAGTGTAGTTTCACTGTTTCCGGCCAACCATTACACATGCAAATACATTGAAGGCATATTTATCTATTCATTGACATCCATTGAATAATAATTACTAGACAAATGACTATGTTAATATGTTTTATTTTATTTTTTTCTTTGGAAAGAGGAAATAATTATGGATCCTAACCAGATAGATTTATTTATTAATTTACAATCTTATATTATATTATGGTACAGGCTTAGAATAATAACGCATAGAAACCTAGTCCGCACACGCTAAGTGAGGCAAATTGAAGCGCACCCAATGGGCCTACACGAGCGGGCGGGCCGTCAGTGCTCAAGGTCAACTTGCACCGCGAACAGCTCAAGAATTTTAACTAAAAAAGACGAATTATGCGGTAAATGAGTGTAAAAATGCGTCAGACAAACATAAAATAGATACTAACATCACATTCCGCAAGGAAGTAACGCGTTTCAACTTGTACTTTTATATAAATATTCACTAAAACCGAAAATTAACCTACTACTAAAACTAGCCTACATGAATTTGATTTTTGCCTCACTTATGACAGTTCGTTTGATATGAAACTATCATTATATGCGTTATTATTCTAAGGGTACAGGTATAATCGTGAAATTTAATAAATAAATATAAATTACAGGCACATAGGACGCGCCGACTCATATCTCGAGGTGACGAGACATTTGCTATTAAAAGCTCTAAGTGACACTGCAACTGTTATGGATAGGCGTGTAGCTTACCATCAGGTGCACGACTTATTCGTTCCGTCACTTGATATTGTATAAAAAAATCTAGACCAGTTTCTATTTTTACGAGAACCTAATTTGTTCGACCATACCTTTGCTGAATCTATTTCTGTTTGACAAGATAATTATGTGGTAGACATTTATTGGAGCAGTTACAACAAAATTGGTGTCACGGAATAGTTGACATAATGCTCTGAGGCGATATTTTCCTTTCCCTTCGCCAACTGAAACAAATGTTTACAAGTACAGTGACACTCGCGGAATAATGAATTTTCTCGACTTCGCTAAACACTTTGTAAAACAAACCCAAATCAACGCTGGAAAGGTAACAAGTCTAACGTGCATTTGGAAAATATTACAGAAGAGCGGTTCAAAGTAATTATTTTAAGAAAAAAAATCATAACTCTAATTTTATTTGTTATACGGAAAAGCTTGAAACTTTCTAGTTTTCCATATAACAAAATTTTACAAGGAAAACTAGAAAGTTAGACCACCGAGAGCTTTAAATCGCAAAGATCTGAGCCACTGCGCCTATCATCCTGAGACATAATTTGACAAGTCCCATGTTCCTGCAATTTCACCAGCACCCGTCAAAACCGGAACGCAGTATCACACATTACTGCTTGGCGGCAGAAATAGGAAAGGTGGCGGTATTTCCCCGAACGAACGCTCTCACAATTAGTTATACTGTTTTCCTAGCTTACAAATAGTGACATTATTGACCTTTTGGATATATTGTTTCGTATTAGGGTTTTTTATTTTATTTTCGTTTTTATTAAAAACAGAAAGTGTCAGGAGTAAACGCCTATGTGTATAAATTTATTCTCAAAGTCAGTTTCATAACAATCTTAGGCAAAACAATAAAGTTTGAAATAAACGATTTTAATTAAAAGTTTGTATTTATATTTGTTTCAGAAGGGCAAAGACATCGCCGCTTGCTGTTTGGTGAGTAAATAATTGCGTGTTCTTTTCATTACTATGGTTTATTGTTTGAATTGCATTTTTCTGTAACATTACAATAAGTGAGCAACAAAATTGTTCGTAAACAAACAATCTTTCATTATTTTGCGTTCAGACAAAATGTGAGTGGTCTAGTAATACGGCCCTGTCACCTGCATTTAACCGACTTCAAAAATTCTCCGAGTATTTTTTGTATGTACGTTACGTATTTGTAGACCGATTTCGATGATTTTGTTGTTGGAAAGAGGGTACCTCAGTATTGCTCCCATTTAAATTGGAAGAAAATATTCCCCTCTAAGGGTGGCAAACTAGTGGATGAATCCGGTTTCGTGCACTTTCTGTAACCGATTTCAATAAAAAATGGCAAATAGACGTAATTTCTCAAAATTTTGAGGTCGGTTCTTTAGTATTTTGTACTAAGATTATTAATTAATGAGGACAATGTTTTGTTTTTATTGCTTTCTGCTTCCATCTCTATCTCAACTAAGTTTTGAAATAAAATAGAACTATAGAATAGAAGTAAATAGAATAAAAGTAAGACCGTAAGGTTGCAAACTTTATAGCAATGCAGAGATAAGGTGGAACAGTCCAGTTACTTCATGGTACTTTAGGATACATTTGTATTCTACACAAACACTAACTTGCAATCCAATTTAAAAAGGCACTAGTTTTGTAATTTCAGAGTTCATGTTTGAATCTCAGTGGTATTTTCAATAAAAACTTGCTTTCTTTAGAAAATATAAGACGCTATCATGACATCACTACTGACATTAAATAAAGGGGTACTGACATTAAATAAAGGGGTACCGATTTCAATATCCGGTACGACCAATTTGAAAAACAAACTTTTCCTAATTGATTTTGGTCTGAGTGTTTTGTGTGGTGCCTTAGTGTGAATTTTGTTGCTCGCTAGAACAGGGAAATGCTAAGTTTGAGACCACGTAAATGATGTAGTTTTCTAGCGAATTGTTATTACTATATTCACTTCAAATCAAACTTCAGTCAGACACCGTTTCATTTGAAAATGGTGGTCGATATTCCATTCAGGCGTACTGGACACCATTTAGACAAACAAAATAAAAAAAACAACATAAAATAAGACAAAATAGACAAAAAGCAAAAAAAAACAAAATGTAACCACTACAACACAAATAACAATTGTACTGTCATTTATGCGGTTGTGGCGTACGCAAAAGGACTTCATTCAGCATAATCCACAGCCATAATTCACTGTGGCGCTGGTTTTCAATGAGCCCTTTTCGACATCTTTTATTACACTCACAACCCAGCAATTGAATTCTCTGCCAGAGACTATATTTCCGAGCACATATAAACAGAATATATTCAGGGTCTGATTAATTAGGCCTCTTCTGGGCGAGCTCGTACCGCCATCAACGCTATCTTTGCTTCAGGGCTAGATAGTGGTAAACAGCCAGTCCATTTACCTTTAAAAAAAATATGTAAAGGACACTCAGAAAAAATTCCTTCGATCCGGTCGGATTCGAACCGACGTCTTCTTGCATACCGTGACAGACGCTATACCAACTAAGCCACGGAACGAACCAACGGACCTCACTAATTTTTCTATGTGCTTGCGTCGTGTCTTTGTACTTGATTTTTCAACGACTTTTTAGTCGTAGCGCCATCTATGAGAAATCTATGACAGATTTATCACCCAGTTAGTACCTTTACAGCTACCAGTCCTGGCGAGAGATGTCGCTATTCACTGTATTAATTAAATTTTTATTGAATTGATATTCAATTTTTATTGATAAATCTGTCTTTTTTTAATTAACATTCAACGCAAGCACAATCATGCACTATAATATCCGGGTACCTTATACAGGTACCCGGTTAGATTCAGGCATGTCTTCCAGGCGTGGAATTCGGTCCGGCCCAGCGGAAACTATCGACCCCGGTCCCCGCTCCCGGCTGTCGGAAATCGAGCTAATCGATTTTCATTTCGCGGACAGGAAATTAAATCCTTTGAGAGACGTTCTGATAACGGATTTCAGCTTAGCACGACACGTGTTCAAAATCAAACGTTCGCTGGTTGGAGGAGGATTCATTTTAAAATTGCTTTTCTAATCTACTCATTAGAATAGAATAGAATAGAATTCATTTATTCTGTGAATGTGGTGAACATTAAGATCTTATGAACATAATTACAGTCCTCATAATCTACCCACTACGGGCGTACAATGTTTACAGTATAGTTTAAGTAATGTCTAAAGTGCAAATTAATTATGAAATAAAAATAAACTTGTACATAAAGCATATTAATTCATTATTACGTTAATTTAATTTCATTAAAATGTATTCACATTGCTTATAATAAAAAAAATCATTTAAACGGTAAAAAACATTTTTTAATTAGCCACATCTTTAAAGTTTTGTCAAAAGTCGTAATATCTAACATTTTTATGTCATTTGGCAAGTAATTATAAACACGAATGGCCGTAGAGTAAACACTTCTAAAGCAAATATCTGAGATAGTTACTGGTTGCAGTAAGTTAAGCCGCGATCGTAGATTATAGTTTTGTACTGTCAATTTTTGAGTGAAATAACCCTTATTACCGCGCACAAACAAACACAAATTCAAAATATATATACCTGTCAACGCTAAAATGTTATTATGTCTAAACAAAGGTCTGGCTGACGTCATAAAGTCTTTATTATATATTATACGAATACGCCTCTTTTGAAGGACAAATGTAGAGTTGACGTTCACACAGTTACCCCAAAGGATGACTCCATAATTGAGTATTGGATACACAGTTCCTTAATGCGCTGTCATTAAAGTGTCACGTGAGGCATTTCTTGCCAGCATCAACAGGGCGTATGATAGACTTGATAGTTTATTGTTTCAATTTGATGTTTCCAATTTAAATGCGAATCTATATATAGTCCCAGAAATTTGAAATTTTGTACTGTTTCGATATTTACTGTTTTGTAACAAATATTAATACTTGGCGGCTTAGCTTGATGAGCGTGGTATTACTTGGTTTTAGTTTTTATTAAGTTAACAGGTAGACCAATGTTGTGAAGCCAGTCTGTAATGTGTTTAGGTTCAAATTGATCTCTTCTTCAAACTGCTTCACAGATAAGCCTTAATTTACTATTAAGATTGACACATCATCAGCAAATAGTACACTTGTATGTCGCGTTAATAATGGCATTGTCGCTTTGTTATAATATTCGCAAAATTTAATGGGTTTTAGAACGTTATTTCCTGTCCTCGAGTCGAGGAGGTCTTTTTTGCTAGAACCGCGCCCAGATACACTGAAAAATTTGTTATTGAAGATAACAATGATTACGACAACAATTTTAGTGATTGCAACAACAATGTTAGAACTCGAAATTGCTGGTCATCCAAAAGGACATAATTTATTGTATATGCATTGAGTTTGCCAAAAACCACTTGCGGTATCAAAGTATAAATGAAAAACATTTATAAAAACCTAAACATCAACCTTAACATGTCGATCTTTTACCATCTTTTGGGAATTCTAGAATTTTCTATTCTATCTTTACTTATTAAATACAGCTCTATGGTCTCTTCGTTATCAAAATCGTGTCTATTCAAATAATTTTGCAAGTGAAAATCTGAAGGGAAAATGTCGGGCGAATACGGTGGATGGGGAGTGTTAACTCCAAGCTAAGTGCAACAGTTCTCTTTGTAAACATTGTGTGGTTTGGCATTTCATAATGAAAAACGACACGTTTACAATATTCATCATTTCTGAATAATTTTCTGAACTCAAAACTTTCCCGCTTATTCTCAAAATGCGCGCTAAAATATTATTTTTAAATGACCACAGATAGCATAATATTTTTTTAAAGTTGTTTTTTGTTTAAAATTAACTTTAAGCAAAACTGCACGGACTTTTCAGTTAACCCTGTCGCAAACACCTTGCGTGTTGTTTTCGTATTACTTTTGATAGTTTTGATGTGATCGTCAGTGTGTCGTAAATTATGTTTTTTGCTATTGCGTTTCTTCGTTTCACGAAAACAACAACATAGTAAAAATATTAAAAAAGAATACAAAACGCAAATAGCTCACGACAAACCCGTTACAGATAAGTACAACGTAATTCAAGAAATTAATTTTCTGTCTAGCTTATATAATGTAGTTCTATTACAACATATCGAAACATTTCCAACTTAAATCGCGTCATGCTCATGTCTAAAACCTCGGAGAAATACTCGTAAGAGGTTTATCGTGTTGGAACTCCGCTAGCGACCACTGTTTGATACAAATTAAATGCTGAACGTATGCAGATAGAAATATAATATATACTACAATACTTTTATCGGCATGTTACTGGAGAACAACGACTATTAAAATACTGAAAATTTGCTAAACAATGTTTGGTTAATCTATTCAATTTTGAAATAGGTTATACTCAGAGATCAGTGGGTAAAAACCACAGAATAATATTACCACAATATGGACAGTTGTCCATATTTGATCTCAGGCCGCCATTTTCGATTTGTACAATATGGCTGTGTCACTCTTTCGCGCACATTCTCTAAAACCCTAGAAAAATGCCTTGTTGTACTGTTTTGGAATTTTTCTGTTTATCGAATTGATTTTTTGTCTCGCAACAAAGAAAGTAAATATAATCCCAATGGAATATGGTCGAGTTTTATCTTTTCGAGAACTAGGTAAAAATTTTGAATTTTCCACGCTAGTAGCGAACAAACACGTGGCTAAAAAAATGCTTCTTGAGTGTTTTGTTAATATTAAACTTAATTGATCGCAATAAAGTTCATTATGCAACGTGTGC